TTTTTTTTTTTTTTTAAAAAAAATTTCACCACTAGGTTTTGCAATATAAATAAAGGCGTAACTAAAATTGTGAATCATTCATGTTATGTATAGTTTGCTTCCTGTATATGTAAATATATATATTTATAATATTTATATAAAAATAATTTCTTATACTCTGTTAGAATATATTGTATATATGGATAGCATATATTAGTATGTTAGAATATATTGTATATATGGTTATAATATATTTTGTCTATATCTTGTAGGATTAGATTTAGGCTCATTATGTTCCTATATATATGTGTACATGTCTTTTGAATAATACACAACATATTTTTCCCAAATTCTCACATACTCAAATAGCTTACGTAACGCGCAACGCTAGCTATTTACATTGCGCAGTATAATGTCCAAAACGACGCATTCGCTATATGTGTTTTAAAACACCATTGAGAACACACCACCCTCTTCACCTGAGAACACACCACCCTCTTTATAGGTGAAGAAACTAAAAAAAAGTGAGGAAATTGATTAATAATGAGGTGGTACACATCTTTTTTAATGTACATGAAAGAGTAATCCTAATAATATTTGGAAATTGGAAGATTTTTTGTATAATGTTCCTGCTCACAGTTAATGACTATTTTTCATTTCAATTTTAAAGGTTTCAGAATATATTCATCGAAAGTAGGGTACATAATTCAAAATTCAATTAGCTAATAATTTCAATGTAATTAATAAATTGCCATGAAGATGTAAAACTTCTTAAAAGTTATTTGCGAATATGTGAGCTGGAGTGTATTTTCGAAAGCTCATTTGAAATTGTCGGAGATTACTCGTTCCACCTCTAGAAGTCGAACCATGGTTATTGCACGATGTCACTGACAGTGACGGAGCTAGGATTCTAATTCAGGGGGGTCCGATTTTAAGTGTTAAATAATGAGTTTGTAATTTACGTAGAAACGCTCATTTCATATAAAGTTTTGTTTACTTATAATTATAGATATTAATATGTGTACTCAAGTTTTTATAAGAACTTAGAACCGTATCATCCTCAAACATTTTTTTTAAGAAAAAAATGAGATTTCGTGTATTTATAATTTATGAAAAATAAGTTTTTTTGTTCAAAATTTGATTTAAATTGAACACATTTCATATCATTTTTGTTATTTAGAACTTATCAAATGACCATTTTTTAATAAAAATTAAATAAAGTTGAAAATATGTGATTACATAAAAAAAATAATAAAGTAAAAAATCAACATTAAAATCTACAATCGATTAACATTAAAAAATCTAACAATCAAACTAAATTCTAGGTTTTATAAATCATTAAATTGAAATTACAATTAAAAGACCGAAAGAATAAATTATTATAAATATTTTCTAATTTTATCCATAAATGTAAAATATAATGATTTTTAGTATACTTTTCAATAAATAAATAATATTATTTACTTTAAATTAAAATAGAATTGAGAATAAGTTTTAATTATATATATATTCTACATTTTTTTTACATTTTTATTCAATTTTATGTATTTATATATATATATATATATATATATATATAATGATTTAAAAAAAAATTGAGGGGGCCCACGGGCCCCCTGGACCTAATGCAGGTCCGTCCCTGGTCACTGACGTCGCTCACCCACGAAATGTTACTATATAGAGCAGGGGCGGATCCAGAAATTTATTTTGAGGGGGGCTATATTTTTTTTAATAATTATAGATTTGAATTTAATGTATATAAAACATAGAAAGTTGTATTATAAATTATATATAATAATAGTGCAATATGAATTATAAAGTTTCAAACATTGACAATAACAAATTTAGATTGAACGATCTCTCAACTCATATATTTCATTAATGATTGATGCAATACTAATAGTTTTGATATTTTTTTCTTTCCATTAAGCATATTTTATATGACCTTCTTTTTCAAGAATTATCAACTTTTATGTTTTCACATATTTTCCATACATTCAATTTATTTTAATTAGAAAATATTATACAAAAGTGTAAAAAGATTATAATTTGTAGTTGAATTATTAGTAGAAAGTGTAATACAATTATTATTTTAATATAAATATATGATTTTATGTGAAAAATAATATATTTATCATATATATATATGTATATATAATAGTAAAAATTAAAAATTTTGGGGGGGACAATGACCCCCTAACTTGAACATAGATCCGCCCCTGATGTGAGGTTTAGGCTTCGACATCCTTCCTAAGGAAGTACCAAAAAAAAGGAAAAAAAAAAAAAATCATTTGCAAGTTATATTATACTTTCAAAAGATTCCCTAACCAGATTTTATCATTGATATTGTCCCTACCAAAATCTTAAGATAGGTTGAAAAAGTCAGTTGCTTACGTATAGCAAAACAGGTATCAAAATCACATGTTGACGTATTCAAATTGCATTTTACCGAGCTTGCTTGCATTGCTTTTGATTTACCACGTAATTTTATTTTTTTGGTACGTCAAAACCCCTAATTTCTAATACTTTTCCTCTAGTTAAACTAGACACGGCCACGGGCCTACCCAGCCCGGCTTGCAACCAGCTCGGATTTTGCCGGTTCGTAACATTAACCATGCGGGTTAGTTCCAGTTCTTTTTTTTTTTTTGTCCCGACAGACTGGGCCGGGCTGGGTCTGGCAACAGGTTGAAAGACGAGCTAGATTTTGTAAATTTTTTAATGGGTCGGGCCGGGTCCAAATTGGCCGATTCAGTTACGTGCCATCAAATTGAGGCCCGGTGGGCCAGGGGGCCGAGTCACGGCCCGTGGTTTGGCCAAGTCTAAGTTAAACTAACAGTTTATCTGTTAAGTCTGTTTACATCAACATACTTGGTTAAATATACTAGTATTGTGCCCATGCAAATGCACGGAACATATAAAAAGAAAGTTGGGAGTCTAGAAATGAAGCATAAACCATACAAATAAAAATTCTATAGAACATCAGCATGAGAAATAAGTATAAATAAGTATATAAGTCGTATAAATAACTATTCTATATTATTCAATGTTTATTTACATACTTTTATTTATGTGTGTGCTTGTTAATTTATCATTATAACTAAAATTGTAGTTTGTTTTATTTGTAAGAGTTTATATGCTCGTTTTATCAACACAAATTAATATTTTCAATAACATAAAACCAAAATCATATATCAAATTTATTAATTGTGCACATTAATATTTTTAATTACATAGAATTACATATATATATAGTATATTAATCTAAACCTTCTCACATTTTCACTCGTATAAGTATGCATTAGAAAGGATTAATGATTAGGCAGCCTTACATCATTTGTGGTGCATTTAAACGTGGGTTAACGTTTTATCAATCTCTGGATCTATGAATATTAAAAGTGATCTTTCCATTTCTAATGAAAACAGGATAGAGATGATTCTTACAACTTTAATTTTTAAAACTTTTTGTTTACATTTTTTAATAAAATTATCTTCAATAAATTGAATTTCAATAATAAGCTATGTATGGTCCATACGCTATCAAATTAAGCATGCAAATATTCGTCCAAGTTAACCTCAACAGATGCGAATTTATGAATTTCAACTGATTTACGTACCAAAATGGTTGCAACAACGATTCACATTCACACGAACATATCAACGTTCTGGATATCAGGTCGAATATGATGTCTAAACCAAGAAATCGATATTCAATCTCCTGAAACAAAAAAAAAAAAAAAAACACACACACAATTTAGTATAAAAATTTAAGAAACCAAAAAATGGAAAATGTAATGCTAATAGCAAACGTGTATACGTGTATAATATATTCTCCAAGTCCAGTTTAAATGCATCAAATTGTTTGGTGTTTGGAGTCCTGTACACAAAATCCAACCCAACATCCTAAAAAAACGTAACACAAAAAATTAGCACACTCTTCATAAAATGATAAACCCAAAATTAGAAACACAAAGCACATGAAAAAATATGAAGTTGGCTTAAAAGACATAAAATATTTATTTATTACGAAAAAATAGAAAACATCAAATGTGGAGGTTTTTTCACTCT